TAAACTGTGAATTGATATAACTCCAAAAATAACATGGATTTATACAATTGGGTTTCTGTCATTTTATTCCTCCATTATGGATAAATGCATACATAAAATATTATGAAGTTTACCGTACATATTATTATACTCATCATACATTATAAAACATACAATAAATATCCATATATATAATCATTAGTAGCTGACAAATATAACACATAATATGTAAATAAAATATTACAATAAATTACTCCTTTACTACATTTCCCCTTCATTAATTGAAAGGAAACACAACTTAAAATTTTTCCTAAAACATCCTAGTCTTTGGTCTCCATTTACCGCTGCCTTGGTAAGATTGATCTCGCCTAGAGTATCAATATCGTTTTCCTTGTTGATTAATCTCACCTAGAGTATCAATATCGTTTTCCTTGTTGATTGATCTCACCTAGAGTATCAATATCGTTTTCCTTGTTAATTGATATCACCTAGAGTATCAATATCGTTTTCCTTGATCATTGATCTCACCTAGAGTATCAATATCGTTTCCCAGTAGATTGATCTCACCTAGAGTATCAATATCGTTTCCCTTGTTGAATCTCCCACCGGAGTATCAATATCGATGGATATCCCACCGGAGAATCGTTATCGAGCCATTATGCCTTGATCTCCCACTGGAGAATCAATATCGACGGATCTCCCACCGGAGTATCGCTATCGAGTTTATTGGTAGACATCGTACTTGAAAGGCCCACGAGATCATCATTATCTGAGCTGGCCAAGAGATCACTGTCATCTTTGAATGGCCCACGAGGTCACTATTATCTTAAAGCTGGCCAAGAAATCGCTATCATCCCTGGATGGCCCCTGAGGTACCAAATCCCTACATCGTATAAGGAGTAGTTCCTTAACCCAAATAAGGCTACATCTGGCTTACGGCCCCAATAGTTTTGCATAGGTCACGTGATTTGAGAGCCAAACATCCTTATACCTTTAGATCTTAATTAGTCAAGTATATTTATCAGTATCCATTTACACAATGTCAAAATAAGCCAGGTTCTATAAGTAACCCCTTTCTCAATGTCCAAATTCCATAAACCAATCTCCATGTTTTCCTATATAATTGTTCCAATAATGTCCATGTTACAAAGAGTAATCAATTTCCATATTTCCAAAGTAAAAGATTGTACCATATTATCATATACATCCAAATGACTTTAAATTATTATCAACAGATTTCCACAAACCATATTTCCATAAGTAACCAGTTTATACCATATTATCATATAATCAACAGATTTCCACAAACCATATTTCCATAAGTAATAGATTATACCATATTATCATATACATCCAAATGATTGTTAAATTATTATCAACAGATTTCTACATATTCATAATTTTATCCTTCTCATTTTTAATAATTGTGTGCGTTCATTCTTCTGGAATTTCATATTATAATAAATAATTGTTTTTCATAATTCATATTTCAAGACAAGATTGCATAATAATAAATTCATATACAATTAATGTATTTTACAAATAACATCATAGTTTATTACCATTGAAATAATATTTTCCATAGCTAATTTTGATAAAACCCAATGACTTCACATTATATGTTCTTTTCTTTTTTCTCGGTCGCCAATTATACAATTGGGTTTCTGCCATTTTATTCCTCCATTATGGATAAATGCATACATAAAATATTAGGAAGTTTATCGTACATTATTATTATACTCATCATACATTATAAAATATCCATATATATATAATCATTAGTAACTGACCAATATAACACACAATATGTAAATAAAATATTACAATAAATTACTCCTTTACTACAGGGGACGATATTTCACCCATTTTAAAATATCGGTTATCGACAAATATTATAAAATTTTCCGATCCGATAAAAAATGGCTAACAAAAATAAAATATTATAAAATTTTAAAAAAAGTTATATCTAAAAAACCATTTATTTTTATAGATAAAATCGAAATCCATTTTTATTTAATTTTTTTAATAGGTATAATTAGATAATAAACTTTCTGCCATAGTTATTTTTTTTTGAATTCTGTTTAAAAAAGTGTTCAATAATCTCCATCATCGCAGACTGATCTCTGATAAATTGGAAATTTTGGTATTTCTAAAAAGAAATCTTCGATATATTCATTTTAAATATTAATTTCAAATTTCATAATATATTTGTTTATTACTAATTAAGTAAATAGATTAATGTTATTACTTATTTATATATATATTTTAGAATTGCAATTGAATATAAACTACAACTGACAATTATAATATATTTAAATGACATATGTTGTGGTATAGTAAAATTATAGATGTTAAATAAAAAGTATATTAAAAATTAAAACTATTGGTATCTTTACAGAATACAAAATTAGATGATATCGGATCGGTAATCGGCCGCTATCAATTTAATATCTGGAATATCGGATCGGCCTTTAAAAAGTGGTATCGGTACACCCCTAATTTATATAATATAATTATATAGGTTAGACACAAAATGAGCCAGAAAAATAAACTATTTGAAACCCCCTCAAATGACTAAACTGAGAATTGACATTATAATTCGGGTTGTCAGATCTCCAGATATTTTTATTTGTTTAAGGTAAAACACGTCATCTATTAATTTACGCATTCCTGTGTGGAATAAATTAATTAAAAAATATTTTTAATTCCCCTTTCAAGCATTTTAATAAATTTGAAATATTTTTGCCCGATGTTTTCCTATAGTATATATGTCCAGTGCATTTGTATTCATTTTAAAAATGGTTTCATGTGGGAGGTAGGAAATAGTTAAAATCAAATCCTTGAAAACTATATGTCTCAAAGGCCTATGTTTAAGAATTAGGGTTAAAACAGGTATTATACTGTGTGACAAATATCATTAGGTAAAATTGTATATTTTTGATTTTGTTGTTGCAATTTGCAAATAAGAAACCGATAATTTAATGGTGTTTTAAATTTTATAATCACAATATCCGAAACAAAATGAGATAGGTTCTTAATATGGGAATTATTCTTTATATTATTGAAAGTTATAGATTTTTAATAATATATATACAATATCTGAGTATATAAAAAGTTAAAAAAAAACGAATATTATAATTATCACTTTGGTACTTCTTCATTGTAATTTTAATTTAACGTTTATAATATATATTTTTAAAAATTTGGGCCAAAAATAACGAATGACAATTGTAATATTTCTAAATCTTAATTTAACATGTTTACAATTTATATATTTACTCATGTGCTTAAAAATAACGATTATGCTAATTGTCACTCTTCTATAGTTCATCTTCACTGAAATTTTAATTTAACATGTTTACAATTTAAATATGTAACCATTTGCGTCAAAAAAGTTTAAAAAATAACGATTATGGGTTGTCATTTTTCTATGGTTTATCTTCATTGAAATTTTAATTTCCTTGCTACGGTTCATCTTCCCTGAATTTTAATTTGATCCCGATATAGACCCGCCCATTACGATTATATAGTGAGTCAGCCTCATAATTAAAGAGGCTTTAATTAACTTTCCCATCCATAATATAATATAAAAATACTATTTATAATTATATTTATTAGAGGCGACCCTAATTGGCTCCTTTGTCTAAAGAAGTTTAGATTTTGGGTTAGGTAAAAAAAAAGCAACCCAAATTTAGGTAGTGTTTAAAAAAAACAATCCATATTTTGGGTCGGGTGGAAAAAAATAACCACAATTTTGGGTCGAAATCGCAAAATAACGACTTTAAGTGGTAGTCGAAAAAAACTACCCAGATTTTAGGTCGAGGTCGTTTTTTTTGGCTTCGCCTAGGATTAAGATCGAAAAAACGATTCAATCTATGAGTCGGAGTCGAAAAACTACTGATTTTAGATCGAGTTTGTTTTTTCCGCTTTCAACGTAGAAAAATCGACCCAAATTGTGAATAGAATATGTTCGAGTCAACCTATAGTTGATTAATATTGTTGAATATCAAAATAAACAACTATTTATAATATTAGAGTGTGGTAATTAAAAACACCGTACGTTATATATATTATCACTTCTATTAAATATCTAAATTCAAACATACAAAAATATTTTGCCTGGCCCGGCCCAAATAAAAAATTTTCAGACGTTATCCGCCCCGGCCAGGTTTTACAGACTTCTAATAAATTTTACTTATTTAGGAGATATATCAACAAGCTATTACTGGCCTCAATTATATATCTACCTAAAGCTTTTTCCCTATTCAACAGAAGTAGTGAATACTTGACTATGATGATGTTTTTAAGTTAAAAGGTTATTTTCTTCCTTATATTTTATATCTTTTAAAATATTATCCTCATCTTTATATAACCTTTGTTCTAGACTTCTGTATAGTAAAAGAATGATTAAAATTTACAAATTTGTTATTTGACCCCTTTTTTTTATCATCTGACCCTTGGTTTCTAGATTTAAAAAAATTGTCTTAACTCCACTTCTAGAACACTTTTAATATGTAATATAGAAATTCTCTCATAAAATTTTTGTTTATAAAAAAATTTCTCACAACAAATGTATAATGCCAAAATCTATTGATTACGTTGCCCCCATTTCTAGTTAAACCTATGGTAGGAATACTCCATAAAAAATACATTTTTTGAACAAATTTGATTATTTTAGCTCAAATGGTTAATTTTTTTTATTGTTGCTTGATTTATCAGTCGTCATTGCAGTTGGGTCTGCTCTAATATATTACTACTAATTTAATCACATTAAAATTATATATGGCTATATTTAAAACTTTAAAGTTATTTGTCTAAAATAATCTGTATTTAAATATTTTTAGTAAATAAAAAACAAGAAAATTATTGTTTTGAAAGAGCATCTTATAAACTAAGATTATTAGGTGGATTCTTCACTAACCAATTAAGATATGGTTGAATATGAAATAAATATTTTATTTTATCTATATATGTGATTGATATCTATAGAAAAAAAAATTAATAAAATAAATTTGCAAAAAAATATTCTCTTATTTCTATTATAATAGTACACGTAACACAAAATTAATGTATATCAAAAAAAGAATATAATTTGCAAAAATTATAACATAGGTATACCATAATTTTAAAGATAAATTGACAATTTAAAAGTTTACATATTTATTATAATATATTTAAACAAAGCTACAACAATAACAATAACATATGTTGCTTTTATAGCTGGTCCATTTTATTTTTGTACCGTTTTAGTGCAGCAAGATTAAATAAAAACTAGTATACATAATTTAAAAAAAAACCCTAAAAATTTAGCAGGGTAAATTAAACACTCGAAAATCAAAAAGGCATAGAAAGCCAGCTTATCCTTATTACAAATTATAATAAATAAAAAAATTTAGATAAATTATTTCGCAAAAAAATAATGATAAGCATATTAAATGAAACAATTCAGTTTATAAATATTTAATCAATAAATAACTAAAATAAATGAAAGGAATAATTATAAGGGGTGATTATGATTTATCTTTGTTGCCAGTTGTTGACCAAACTAAGTATATAAAAAAAATTAATTATAATATTTATTATAGAATTCTAATGAATAGTATTTAATAAATATTGTAATATTTCAGAAAGATAAGAATAATTTTGGCACCTTATGAAGCTTAACCGATACCACACTTTTTTTACCGATTTAATTGAAACGTTATATAATTTCTTTCAGATTTCCTTACAGGACACAAAATATCCACCTTCATAAAAAAATTAACATAAAGCAGGGGGCTTGAAATATGTTAAATTTTAAAATTCAAAAAAAAATATATTAAATAACTTCATTATCATAATTCTGTTATGATCCACTAGGATTAAATTATTTAAAAAATGCAAAATAAAAATTTGATCATTGGTCCAAATGTCTATTAAAAATCAAAGTTAGATCAAACATCTTAATGTTAAGTGACACTTTCTTTAACATTTATTACAGCTGTTATTCTTTAAGGCATTGAGTTGATTAGTTTACAACACTGGTTATGACAATATTCCAAATTATTAAGTTTAATCTTTAGACTATGACTCTTTTGGACGTCGAACTTATTATTATATAACATGCTTTTTATAGGATTGTGTAGTAATTGTTAGTTCCGATCAGGTCTTGTTATGAATCCACTCCTAAAAACTGCATATCATTGAGTCTGGGAGAATTTTCTTATCTATATCAAAGTCCTTCATAAAACTAAATTTTTTGTAGGCTCGGCCTAGGCCAGCAGTAAAAAAAATAATAGGCCTAGGTAGGGGTGGGACCAATATCAATATATTATTGGTTTACAATATCAAATACCTAAATATATTGTTTAAATACAATATTAACCAATACCAATATTAAAAATAGAAAATACATATAATTATTTGGTTTTATCGTGGATATATTTTTTTTACTTTACTTATTACATCCGATATTTCTTTAGTGCAAATACCAACCTTTCTGTACTGTGATATCAATATTGGTGTTATTTATAATAGTTCTATTTTTATTATGGAGTAAATTTTCTACATGGTATCAATTTTTAACTACATTTAGGATATTATAATCAATGAAGACCAAATAGTATTGTAAATATAGCAAATGCTGATGACACTAATAACGATAATGAACAAAAACAATCATCAATATCTAATAAAAGACGAAATACAGCAAAAATCTTGAAATTTTATATGAGCTGCAAAAAATAAGGTAATTTGTAATAAATGCAAAAAAATATTTCTTCTTAATTTTGGAACCTCACATCTTAATACATTCACCCAACATTATATAAGAAATGTGAACAAACAAATAAAATTGGCAGTAAAAAATTAACACAATAAAATCATTTAATTATAGACTTTTTATTCAAAATAACAGCCTTTTCAAAGGTTGAATGTATCACTTTTAAAAATTTAATAGCATATTTTAACCCTTCACTAACATTAGTTTCGAGAAAAACACTAAAAATAGAAATTATGAAACATTATCATAGTTCTCTTAACAATCTAAAATCTGTACTTTCTAACATTACATCTGAATTTTTCTTAATAATGGACATATGGTCCTCTCTAAATAAAATACCCTTTATATGGGCATAACAATTCATTACATTGATAATAATTTTAAATTAAATAATCATTTATTAGATCGCACAATTCTATTAATATTTATAATGTTTTTAATTCTATATTAAAAGTAAAATTTGAAATTGGGTTTTTTTGTATTACATTAGACAATGCAAGCAATAATTTAGCATTTCTAAAAATTTATAAACAAAAAAATTATTTTAATTTAAATAATATGTGCAAATGCTTTTGACATGTTATACATTTGGCTGTTATGGCTGCCTTAGAACCTTTTAATAAAACATTTTAAAAAAAATAAGAAAATTTTTTAAAATTTCTATATCTAAATTTAATAAACTCGCAAAAAAACCAACCTTAAAATTTCCTCATCTAATTTTTGATATACTAACACGTTGGAATTCAACATACCAAATGCTTGAAAGGGCAATATTGCTCAAACCCTATTTGACAACATATACCAATCATATAAAATACAAATGAAGAAAATTTTATTAATGTCTTAGCCCGGAATAATATAGAAATATATCGAGAATTTCTGGAACCATTTAATTTCTCTACAGAGATGGCCTCATATGTAAACACTCCATCAGTTTCAACCATCATCCCTTTACATTCCAGCATTTTTGAGCATGATGAGAGTTACAATAATAACCCAATACTATTTTAAAGAGGGCTTCTTTAGCTGCCTTAGCAAAACTTGAAAAATACCATAATTTTAATAAACACCTGTATATTATATCAACAATGATTGACCACAGTTTAGAATATCAAGTCACCTATAAATGGATAATAGTATAAACATTCATTGGATACCTAACCGAAGAATATAATATTTATAAAATAAATAATTTCAATTCAGTTGTATAAATGAAACAGAAAATAAATCCAAAAAATTGTCCTTTTATGATAAAATATATCAAGTTAAACATAGTCATAACAATAATAGTTTAGAAATAAGCAAATATATGGATGAAGTCACAATTCCTAATGATACAAATCCAATAGACTGGAATTAAATCAAAATATATATCCAATATATCGAAAATTTCCAGAGATTATCTTGCAGTTCCAGCTACCTCAACTAGCTCTGGAAGGGCTTCTAATAAGATCTAAGATCCTTTATTCTGAAAAGAATATTGTATCTTTTTCATTTTCTTGACAAAAGATACAGATTCTTTTAAATATTCATATTTTTCTTCGAGAATCTTGTATTAAGACAGCCAAAATTAGCTGGAAAAGTTACAACTCATATTAAGGTCGACAGATAAAAAATAACAACACCAAAACGAAATAAGTATAGATTATATTTTATATATAAATGTAACTCGATAGACCATATTTTTACTATGTAGGATGATTAACATTCAAGGTAGTGAAATTTAAATTATAGAAATAAGTTCTCCTGAATCATATCCCAATATTAAATTTTTTAAAATTAAAGTTAAAAAAGACAATGTACAGGTTAGATGTAAAACCTGAACAAAAAAATGATAAAGGGTTAAAGACAAATTTTGTTAAACATATTAAAGTACATTATTTATGTGTAGTTAAGGCATAGGTTATCTTAAAATTCAAGTTTACAAAATTGTCTATCTTTATTAAAAGCTGCCCAAGATGGTATGGGCTTAAGATTTTAAGGAAATATTTTCCTCTGATTTGAATATAATGAGGCTTTTTTGACATCAATATCACATCCATATTTTAAGAACTTATGGATTGAGTCGGATAATAAAAAATAATAATTTAAAAGAAGCCCTAAATGTAGTAGCAGAGTATATAATCAAGCTCAAACTATAACACCAATAGATTAACATCTAATAAAGAAAATGATTATTTTCTTTTGGTGAAACAAAATTTGCTGAGTTCAATAATATAAATAACATTGAGCTGAAGGTTTTAAATTTTATTAAAGAAAGTCGAAATACATTATAAATGCCTAATTATTAACCTTCCATTAAGGAAATTTTTTGTACATATAATACTGCAAACTTCATCAGCTCCACTTGAAAGGTTATTTTGTTTTGGTACAATATTAAGTATGCCGAAACGGCAAAGTTCTAATAATAAATTATTTGAAAAATTTGATTATCTTATAAAATAATGAATTACTCTTTTGCAAATTAATATTTCAACTCCTATTAAAAATACCAGTCTCCCTTCTCAATCTATGCTAAGAATAGGCTAATATTAATATTAAAATGTCTGAAGTATTATAATTAACTCATCATTAAATGTTTTATTAATTATTGTAAGTATTCATACTTTTTATATGTGCCTGTTATTATGTTCTTCACAAATAAATATAAAACATTTAAAAACTATTCTAATTTAATTGGTAATGATAATTTAAAAGTATCTTGTATTTAAGATACTCTAATTAAGCAAAAAATACAAGTATTTTTTTGTTATTTTAAAAAAGACACTAGTATCCGTATCTAAGATTCATTTTTTCACAAAGAATCTGTATCTAAATTCTTTTTGCGGAGGATCTGCCCAACTCTGCATACCGTCCTTCTGAAAACGCCCTTTCAGAGCTAGTTGAGGTAGCTGGAATTGCAAGATAATCTCTGGCAATTTTCGATATATTGGATATATATTTTGATTTAATTTCCACCAGTCTATTGGATTTGTATCATTATGTGACTTCATCCATATATTTGCTTATTTCTAAGCTATTATTGTTATGACTGTTTAACTTGATATATTATTTTATCATAAAGGACAATTTTTTGGATTTATTTTCTGTTTCATTTATATGTTTAACTGAATTGAAATTATTTATTTTATAAATATTATATTCTTCGGTTAGGTATCCACAGCGTCTATATAAGCGGGAGGAGCAGGAACAGTTCGCATCCAAAATTTTTGAGGGGGGGGGTAATGAGTAGAATTTAAGGGAGGACTAGAGGTAGGATAAATTAATAGAGGGGGGTCGGGAGTTATATATTAAATTTTTAGATGAAATAGGGCAATATGTATTGCATAGACCTATTATAATACAACGATATTGCTAAACATCAGTCAAATCAATATATGACGCATAATTATATACAACATTTTAAAATAAAACTATTTCTAGATCATTTTTTGCTATCCTTTTAAATGTAATTTAAAAGAGTTAAGAATTCTATCGGTAAACTAATATTCGTGCAAAACAATATTCTACAGTGTTGACCAGATTTAATGGAAGGCATTTCCATATTTTTTAATTTATTTGAAAATAAAATTATTTGGCTTGTTAAAAATTGTTAAAATAACATATTTATATATTATTAAAATTTTTTATAAATATTATTTACAAAGGAATTCAAAAATATGGAAATCTTTTAAATTAAATCTGCAAGACATTGTATAATAATGTACTAATTGTAAATGAGGGAGTTTTTAAATTAATTCATGTTATAAAAAATAACTCTTTTACATACACAATATTTTGATAAT